GAAAGTGAAAGTGTGCATACAAAGTGAGTGTGGTTGTGTGGAAAGTAAAAGTGTGCGTGTACAGAAACTGAAAGTGTATGTGTGTAGAAATGAATGTGTATGTGTGTGTAGAAGGTGAATGTATGTGTAGATAGTGAATGCGTGTGTAGAAAGTCTGTGTGTGGATGTACAGTGAGGATGTATAATGTAAAATGTGTGTGTGGAAAGTGAAAGTGTGTAGAAAGTGAAAGGGTGTCTGTAGAAAGGGAAAGTATGTGAGTGTGGGGAGTGAAAGTTGGTGTGTAGAAAGTGATTATGTTTGTATAGAAAATGAATATGTGTGTAAAAAGTGAATATGTGTCTGTGTTGGAAGTAAAGATGTGTTAAGTGTAAAATGTAAACATGTGAGTTTAGAAAGTGCATGTGTATGTTGGAAGTAAAAAATGTGTAGAAAGTGAAAGTGTATTTGTATAGAAAGTGAAAGTGTGAGTATAGAAAGTGAAAGTGTGTGAAAGTGACTTGTGTTTGTGTAGAATGTGAACATATGTGTAAGAAGTGAAAAAGTGTGTGTAGAAAATGCCTGTATGTGCAGAAGGTGAATGTATGTGTGTGTAGAAAGTGAAAGCTTAGGAGTGTTAAATGTGAAAGTGTGTGTAGAAAGTGAATTGTAGAAGGCAAAACTGCATGTGTGGAAAGTGAATATTATCTGTGTGTAGGAAGTGAATGTCTGTGTGTTATGTGAATGTGTGTGAATTTAAAATGTGAATAAATGTGTAGAAAGTGAAAGTGACCATGCAGAAACTGAAAGTGTGTTTGTGTAGAAAGTGAAAGTATGTGGAGACTGAAGATATTAGTGTATAGGGTGAAAGTGTGTATAGAAAGCAAAGATGTGTGTGTATAGAAAATGAATGTGTGTGTGTTTAGAAACTGAATGTGTACATGTATGAATTAATGTGTATGTGTGTGTAGAGTCAATGTGAGTACGTAGAAAGTGAAAGTGTATGTAGAAAGTGAATGTCTATGTTGTGTCTTAAAAGTGAATGTGTGTACATAATGAATGTGTGTGTGTAAAATATCTATGTGTGTGTTTAGAAAGTTTATGTCTGTGCTGGTGTGGAATGAGACTGTTTGTCAGTGTATTAGTGTGAAATGTATGTGTAGAAAGTGAATGAGTCTGTAGAAAGTGAAAGGGTGTCTGTAGAAATTAAAGGTGTGTGGAAAGTGAAAGTGTGTGAATGTGGAAAATGAAAGTGTGTGTGTAGAAAGTGAGGGTGTGTGTGCATACAAAGTGATTGAAAGAGACACGTGCACCCCAATGTTCATCACAGCACTGTTTACAATAGCCAGGGCATGGGAGCAACCTAGATATCCATCAGCAGATGAATGGATAAGAAACCTGTGGTACATATACACAATGGAATATTACTCAGCTATTAAAAAGAATGCATTTGAATCAGTTCTAATGAGGTGGATGAAACTGGAGCCCATTATACAGAGTGAAGTAAGCCAGAAAGAAAAGCACCAATACAGTATACTAATGCATGTATATGGAATTTAGAAAGATGGTCATGATAACCCTATATGCAAGACAGCAAAAGAGACACAGATGTATAGAACAGTCTTTTGGACTCTGTGGGAGAAGGCGAGGGTGGGATGATCTGAGAGAACAGCACTGAAACATATGTATTTTCACATGTGAAACAGATCGCCAGTCCAGCTTTGATGCATGAGACAGGATGCTCGGGGCTGGTGCACTGGGATGATCCTGAGGGATGGGATGGGGAGGGGGGGTTCAGGATGGGGAACACGTGTACACCCATGGAGGATTCATGTCAATGTATGGCAAAAACTACTAAAACATTGTAAAGTAATTAGCCTCCAATTAAAGCAAATAAATTAATTAAAGAAAAAAGAAAGTGAATGTGTATAGAAAGAGAATATGTGTCTGTATAGGAAGTGAATGTGTGTAAAAAATGAACATGTGTGGGTTTAGAATGTGCATGTATGGGCAGAAAGTGAAAATGTGTAGAAAGTGAAAGTATGTTTGTGTAGAAAGTGAGTGTATTCATGTGGAAAGTGTGTGTGTGGAAAATGAGTTGTGTTTGTATATAAAGTGAATGTGTGTTGAAAGTGAGTGTGTGTATGTGTAGAAAGTGAGTATGTGTGTTTATAGAAGGTGAATGTGTGCCTGAAGAAAATGAATGTGTATGTGTAGATAGTAAATGTGTGTGTAAAAGTTAATGTGTGTATAGAAAGTATGTGTTTGTCACTAGAAAGTGTATTGCATGTGTGTGTAAAATGTGAATGTTTGTGGGTGGAAATTTAATGAGTGTCTTTAGAAAGTGAAACTGCATTACTGTAGAAAGTGAAAGTATGTGTAGAAAGCAAGTATGTGTGTGTAGGAAGTGGATGTGTGTGTGTAGAAATGAATGTGTATATATGGGTAGAAAGTGAATGTAAGTGTGTAGAAAGTGAAAGTGTTTTAGGAAGTGAATGTGTGTGGAAAGTGAAGGTATGTGTCTGTGTAGAAAGTGAATGTATGTGTATGTAGTGTGTGATTGTGTGTGTATATAGAGTGAAGGTATGTGTAAAAAGTGAATGTGTGTACAGAAAGTTGATGTGTTTGTAGAAAATTAGTGTGTTTGTGTAGAAAGTAAGAGTGTAGAAATTGAAGGTGTGTAGGAAGTGAAAGTGTGTGATTGTGGAAAGTAAGAATGTGTTTGTACAAAGTGTGTGTGTTTGGGTAGGAAGTGGATGTGTGTGTAAAAAGTGAATATGTGTGAGTTTAGAATGTGAGTGCATGTGTAAAAAGTGAATGTGTGTGTAGAAAGTGAAAATTTGTGCAGAAAATGAGTTGTGTGTGTAGAAAGTGACTGTGTGTTTACAAAGTGAAAGTGTATAGAAAGTAAATGTGTGTGTGCATAGAAAGTGGATGTGTGTGTAGAAAGTGAGTGTGTGTTTGTGTAGAAAGTGAATGTTGTTTAGAAAATGAAAGTATGTAGAAAGTGAGTGTGTGTAGAAAGTGAATGCACATGTAGAAAGTGTGTGTGTAGAAAGTGAATGTGGGTGTGTGTAGAATGTGGGTGTGTGTAGAAAATGAATGTGTGCATGTATGTGTGCAGAAAGTGAATCTATGTGTGTGTAGAATGTGAATGTGGGTGTGCACACACCGGCAGGGAGAGAGGCCCCAGGTGGGTGATGGGGCTCGGGGCACACACTGGCCATCAGCTCTTGGTGTATTTGCCGCTCAGGCAGGGGTGTGAAATATGTGCATTTGCTGCCATACTTTGCAATAAGTCATGACAGTTACATTCCGTTGCTAAGATGAGAGGCATAGGTTAGTTTGAAGATTTTAGTTAGAATGACTAATTTTTAAGAAAAAAAATCTTGGGAATAATGATGCTATATTTTTTTCACTTCTTTTTCTTTTCATCATTTCACTTATTTTTCCCTTGGAACACTTCACTGTGCTAGTCCTTTCCGCTGCCTGTTAACCAGAGAGGTAAAGAGCACAGACTTAAAAGGTGCAAAGTTTGTTCATCCTGCCAATTCTGAAACCAGATGCAAGTTCGAGGGGTTCCTGTAGTGACCCTCAGGTTTGGTGATTCAGCAGGTCTCACTGAAAGTGTGCTCCCTGCTTGTGTTTCTGCGCCTGTTGGAGCACATCACCATGTGCTTTAAGGAAACCACATCACTTATTTATCTAAGAAACTCACTCCTTCGTGGCAATTCATGTATTTGACTGAATAAGGGAGGGTATATCCATAAGATATATCACTCAAACTTTGGTAAAGTATATATGATCATCAGAAACATCCCAAATATCATTTTAGGAGAGTAGATAATCTGAATACTGGTAATAACTTTAGGAGTTTTCATTAATACCTCAAGTCATAATTGCAGTGTTTTGAATCTTCCTGAGAGAGTTATACCAACAGCAAGTCTTTTTTAATGATTTTATTTATTGATTTATTTTTGGCTCTGCTGGGCGTTCATTGCTACTCACGCTTTCTCTAGCTGTGGTGAGCAGGGGCTACACTCTAGCTGCAGTTTGCAGGCTTATCACTGTGTAGTTTCTGTTATTGCCGAGCACAGGTTGTAGAACATTCAGGCTTCAATTGTTGTGGCTCCTGGGCTCTAGAGCTTGGGCTCGGTAGTTGTGGCCACAGGCTTGGCTGTCCGCAGCATGTAGAATCTTCCCAGATCAGGGTTTGAACCCACGTCTCCTGCATTGGCAGGTATATTCTTTACCACTGAATCACCAGGAAAGTCCACAAGTCTATTTTTTTTAATCCCTTTGAATTCCTAAACAATCCAATGATATTCTCTTCCCTTACTCCCTTTTCCCTCATCCTTTAAAGTGTATTATTCTAAAAATAAAGAGGAATGTTAAAGACAGAGAAAAGAAACTCTTGAAATGATGTGATCATCATTACTTGACTTTATATAGCACTTTATGTTTTAACATCTTTTAGCATAGGCTAATTTTATAGCCATCTTGAAAGTGGCTGACTTAAGTGCAAATTTGAAAAAATGAAGTATGGATTCGTGGAATGCAATTTTAGAAAATCAACCTCAGTGCAGCTTTAATTTGCCTGATATGTGTATGAGCTTGGGTGAATGTATGCAAATATATGAAAGTTGAAGTATGATTGCCAAAATCTACTGGCATATCAAATATGAGAAGGAGGAAAGAGACGGAGACAGAAAACAGACTTAGACTTTGTTTAGTACAGTTGATGGTTTTCAAACGAAGAGAAATTCAGGGAGGTCAGCAAATTATTCAAGATTTCACTCCCTAGCTACTACCTGGTTATTAATGTAACAGCATACACCCACCTACAGAAAAAGCAAATATTTGAAAATGTATTTGTCTTCACATGAGTGGGTTACTGGATTCACTTCCATAATTTTCCAGGTCTGATCATGTCTAGGAATATTTTGTATGTATTATGGCACAGATACTGACTATTTTTTCCATAACCCAGGAAGGTCCCCATGATGGTTTCCTTTGTGTCCAGGTGTGACTCTGGAGTCCGACTCCTGCCTTGATCCTGGGATCCCCGTGAATGGGCATCGGCACGGCAGTCACTTTGGCATCCGGTCCACAGTGACCTTCAGCTGTGACCCAGGCTACACGCTGAGTGATGACGAGCCCCTGGTCTGTGAGCAGAACCACCAGTGGAACCACGCGTTGCCCAGCTGTGACGGTAGGTGGGGCGCAAAGGAGCCAGGAAGACGTGCACAGATTTTATTTAAACAGTTTGGGTGGTGAGCACTTTAGGGGGTGATTCAGGATGTGACTGAAATGGGACTTCTGTTTGGAAGCTCTTAGACCTTAAAAACATGGCTGTTTAGTGCTTGAAGTTTATCTAGAATCTTCTCTATGAGGTAGAGCTCCTATTTATAGAAAGAATTTTCCCACAGCAAGCACATTGTATAAGATCAAGCCCACAGATCAGTAGATGAGTGTGACCAGAGACCCAGGAGTCCTGCCTCATCCCAGTCACTGCCCGCACAAAGGCTACAGTTCCCTTGACCCTGAAGATTCTATGCAGAGGAAGTCATGCAGGATGTTTCTTTGCTATTTCCAGCTTCTTTCGCTGTGACATCCAGGGCATGGCACTTAACTGCACCTCCTTCATTCTTGTCATCTGTTTCCCTGGATAATGCACCACCGTTGTTTATTCCAAGATACTTTGTACGAGCATTTGATTTATTTTGAGCTCCTTTTCCTGCTTGTTTTGGCTAAGAGTGCACCCTCCTCCATCAGTAATGTGTTTCCTTCCTCCTATTTATATTGGGTCACATACCTTTTTCTTATAAAATAATAAACCTTGCTTATGTATTTGGAGCCCTCTCTTTTGTTGAATCCATGTATTGTGAATGCTTTCTCTCAGTCTGTCTCTGTCCTCCTCTTCTTGGTCTTTTTTTGAAGAATAGCATGTTTTCATTTGAAAATAATCTACTTGTTCAATGCATTCATTTGTGATTGGTGCTTTACAGATAGTGTTTAAGAAGGCTTACTACCCTCAAGTCATAAAGATATTCTGTTGTTTTCTTCTGAAAACCTTTAAAAATTTTGACAGCTTTATTGAGGTATAATTAAAATACTATAAACTGCCTGTTTAATGTGAAAATTTTACTATGTTCTGAGATACCTATACATATATGAAACCATCACCATGATTAAGGATGTGTTCATCACCCTGAAAGCAAATGCTAGTTTTTTTTTAATGTCAAATATATACTTTAAGCCCATCTAATATTTTTGTAAGATGTGATATGGTGTCTAGATCCATTTATTGATAAGACTGTACTGTCTCTTCTCTGATGTGTGGTCTGTTCTGTCACACAGGTGGCTATATGTGCATGAGTCACTGCCTTTGTCCTTTTGTTTATCCATTTGTTGTTCATTCACTGAGTCATGTCCATCTCTTTGAGACCCCAAGGACTATGGCATGCCAGGCTTCCCTGTCCTTCACTACATCTCAGAATTTGCTCAACTCATGTTCATTGAATCAGTGATGCCATCCAACCATCTTGTCCTCTGTTGCCCCCTTCTCCTCTTGCCTTCAGTCTCTCCCAGCATCAGGGTCTTTTCCAATATGTTGGCTCTTTGCATCAGATCACCGAAGTATTGGAGCTTCGGCTTCAGCATCGGTCCTTTCAGTAAATATTCAGGGTTGATTTAATTTAGGATTGACTGGTTTGATCTGACTGTCCAAGGAACTCTCAAGAGTCTCCTCCAGCACCAAAATTCAAAAGCATTAATTCTTTAGCACTGAGCCTTCTTTATGGGCCAACTCTCACATTCATACATGACTACTGGGAAAACAGTAGCTTTCACTATAAGGAGCTTTGTAGGCAAATTGATGACTCTGTTTTATAATACACAATCTAGGTTTGTCATAGCTTTTCTTCCAAGGAACTCTAATTTCCTGGCTGCGGTCACCATCTTCAGTGATTTTGTAGCCAAAGAAAATAAAATTTGCCTTTTTTCCACTTTTTCCCCATTTATTTGTCATGAAGTGATGGGACCAGATGCCATGATCTTAGTTTTATGAATATTGAAATTTAGGCTAGCTTTTTCACTCTTCTCTTTCACTTTCATCAAGAGGCTCTTTAGTTCCTCTTCACTTTCTGCTGTTAGGGTGCTATCATCTGCATGTCTAAGATGGTTGGTATTCCTCCTAGCAATCTTGATTTAAGCTTGTGATTCATCCAGCCCAGCATTTTGCATGTTGAACTTTGCATATAGGTTACATAAGCAGGGTAACAATATACAGCCTTGAAGTACTTCTTTCCCAATCTTGAAAGTCTTTTGTTCCATGTCTAACTGTTGCTTATCTTTTTAATTTATTTATTTTTAATTGAAGGGTAATTGCTTTACAGAATTTTGTTGTTTTCTGTCAAACATCAGTAAGAATCAGCCATAGGAATATCCATGTACCCTCTCTCCCAAAACTCCCTCCCACCTCCTTCCCCACCCCACCCTTCTAGATCTTTACAGAGGCCCTATTTGTGTTCCCTGAGTCACACAACAAAGTCCCACAGGCTGTCTGTTTTACACATGGTAAAGTAAATGTCCATGTCACTCTCTCCACACATCTCACCCTCTCCCTCCTCCCTTCCCCCCGTTTCCATAGGTCTTTTCTCTGTCTTCCTTTCCATTGCTGTCCTGCAAATAAATTCATCAGTGCCATCTTTCTACATTCCATATATATGCATCAGTATACGATATTTCTATTTCTCTCTCTGACTTACTTCACTCTGTATAATAGACTCTAGTTTCATCTACCTCATTAGAACTGACTCAAATGTGTTCCTTTTAATGGCTGAGTAATATTCCATTGTGTATATGTACCACAGCTTTTTTTTTAGCACTCTCCATACACTCATCCATTGTAGTTGTATCAGTTACATTCCCACAAGCAATGCAAGAGGATTCCCTTTTCTCCACACCCTCTCCAGCATTTATTGTTGTAGACTTTTTGATCATGACTGTTCTGACTGGTGTGAGGTAGTATCTTAGTGTAGTTTTGATTTGCACTTCTCTAATAACGAGCGATGTTGAGCATTTTTCATGTGTTTGTTAGCCATCTGTATGGCTTCTTTGGAGAAATGTCTGTTTAGGACTTTTTCCCACTTTTTGATTGGGTTGTTTGTTTTTCTGGTATTGAGTTGTATGAGCTGCTTGTTTATTTTGGATATTGATTCTTATCAGTTGTTTCCTTTACTATTATTTTCTCCCATTCTGAGGGTTGTCTTTTCACCTTATTTGTAGTTTCCTTTGCTGTGCAAAAGCTTTTAAGTTTAATTAGATCCCACTTGTTTATTTTTGCTTTTATTTCCATTACTATAGGAGGTGAATCATACAGGATCTAGCTTTGATTTATGTCATCAAGTGTCCTGCCTATGTTTTCCTCTAAGAGTTTTATAGTTTCCGGTCTTATATTTAGGTCTTCAATCCGCTTTGAGTTTATCTTTGTGTATGGTGTTAGGAAATGTTCTAATTTCATTATTTTACACATAGCTGTGTAGTTTTACCAGCATCACTTATTGAAGAACATAGAGGTTTCTCAGAGGACAGATAAGCTGGTTTGGGATTCCCGTCTTTTTAAGAATTTTCCACAGTTTGTTGTGATCCACACAGTCAAAGGCTTTAAGCACAGTCAGTGAAGCAGTTTATCCATTAAGAAATTTTACTTTTTAATTCTCAGAAAACTTTCTAAAGAAATCTGGAGACAATAAATGAAAAACATTGACATTTCACTATATACAAATTAAAAGTTCCATTATTTTTATTTTTTAAATTAATTAATTTATTTTAATTGGAGGCTAATTGCATTATCATATTGTAGTGCTTTTTTCCCATACACTGACGTGAATTAGCCATGGGTGTACACTGCCCCTGTCCTGAACCCCCTCTCCCCACCCCATCCCTCAGGGTTGTCCCAGGGCACCAACTTAGGGTGCCATGTTTCATGCATCAAAAAGTTCCATTAAAAATTTTAAAAGGTAAAAGAAAATGGTCAGATTAGAGAAAACGATTGCACTGTCTGTGTAATATAATTTTAAATGAGTTTGTCCAATAAACACATGAAGGAAAATTAAACAACACAAATAAACCAATAAATCTGTGAGGGAAACAAACACGCTGATGACTTTCAGAAGTGAGCAAAGGCCAATAAACAGTGTAAAACAGGCCCATTTTGACCAGGAATCAGGAAAATGCAAGTAAAACACAGTAATATACCTCCCTTGTTGGATTTGCAAAAAGAAGTGCAAAGTTCATATTATTTGGATTCATTGTGGGATTATTAATCTGCATGTGTATTCTGCATTGTTACTGGGAAATGTAAATAATATAGTTTCTTGGGAGAAAAAAAAGCAACTCGTAGTGAAATGTGTATCACATGTGTGAGCACATACATGTAGGTAACTACAGATACCCTCACAGTGTATGCACAGGAAATGACTGGAAATAGACAACCTAAAATTATAGCTTCAATATATATTTATAACCTACAATTATATATGTATATATAATATAATATAAATATATACATGATTATATATATTTAAAATCTGAAATTATAACTGCAAGGAAAATTTCTTCCCTTTTTGGGATGTTAGTAAGCTATCAGAGAGGGTGAAGAGAGACTTTTTTAGCTCTTCATTTTATGGTGTTATTTGAATTTTTGTTGCCATGTTTTATTTTTGTATTAGAAGTCTAATAATAAAAAAAATAAATAAAATTCATCTTTACGCCTACTAGTGTCAGAAGGATACTAGCTACTGTACTAATTAAAAATTTATAAAACTTGAGTATGGCCTAAATACTATACCAAAATGTTCACTCCTTATTTGGAGTCTTTACTAACAACAGTTCTTCTAAGAACACTAAGTATAAGGGCCTAACCCTTAAAAGACTTCCATGTTATTCACACATAACTGAATATCAATCAATATATTTTATTATATCACTTAATCCAAAATTTGTAAGTTAATCATATGAATAATTTTATTGAAATGTTTACATGATATACAAATTCATGGCTCTGTTGAATGTCATTGTGCAGCTCTAATGATTTTATGGGCTAGAGCTAAAAATGGAATTTAGAAATGAAGCTTATACAAGTTGCTCTCTTTTGTGCACTTGCTTTTGAGGTAGGTCGGTTGAGCATCTGCTCCAGTGGGGCTTCTC